ATTATATGGGGTGCTCCTAATAGTCGTTCTTACATACCACATCCTAAATCGGCTATTTTTATTGAAGATTATCCAAATGTTGAAGACCTTGCAAATCATTTAAAATACCTGGTTAAAAACAAGACTGCTTATTTAGAATATCATCAGTGGCGATCCACAAAAGTATGGTCTGAAGGATTTGAGAGGAAGGTCTATATGAGCTTGCGTAATTTGGGTTGTAATATTTGTAAAGAGGTTGCTAGATTGAGGATTATCGAAGGAAAGATTTAATTATAGTACGTTATATTTCTAGATTAACTATGCTTATCATGTTAAGGAGTAAGTCCGCAGTTGAAGGTATAATTTCATAGTAAAATTCAGTAGTATTACTATTTTATCTTATATATTTAGAGCCGAATCCCATACATTTAGTAAAAAAATCGAAAAATACTCATATCTCAAGACGATTTTAATGATTTTACTACCGTTAGAATCACAAAGTTACTTTTATATGTAAAAAGCCCCATTTTTGTACAATATATTTAGTGAAAAATATCACAAATTTTTAGTTATCTTGAACACCATATTCTTATTTTTAATAGGCCAATTTGATGTTAGTGATTCATAGGCAGAAGCAGAGCACAAAATCTATTGTAAACTGCCGGAGACTTCTGTTTCGTCATGACAATTTCCGCCTTGGCTTTTCATCAGTCAGAAAATTTCCGAATGTGATATCATATATACGTATGTATATAAATATCAATAAATATTACAATATCTTTATTAAAAGCTCCTACATCTGGCCGAGTTTTCTAAGTTCCGGTTAAAATAAATACCGCCGGAGAAAAAGCAGCTTCCGGCATTCAGAAATTTTGTGCCCTGGGCAGAAGTTCATCTAAATGACTAAATTTATACAGTTTCGAGTACTTTTTAAAAAACTGAAGACTAATCATAATGAAATAAAAAAAATTGTATAGAAGATTTCATTAGAGCTGTAGGAAGGACTCCATAGCCAAAACCCGATAAAATCAACTTATTACTATGCTAATGTTTTTAAACTGACGAGAATTAGATCTTATTTTTGATGATGAAGTCCTACAACTCTAATGAAACCTTCTATATGGTTTCTATATAGTTTTTTTTACTTCATTATGGTTGGTTTTTGTTTTTTTAAAAGTACTCTAAACTTTATAAATAATGTAAAATTGAATTTATTAGCCAATCAGAGAACTTCTACCTACGGTATGATATCAGAATATTGTACCCGATCACGTGAAAATACATGAAATGCAATAAGTTATACCTGTGATCAGAAATGGTATTTCAGATGCAGAGGGGTAAATAGGGAATAGGAGAAGGATTTAAAGATAAATTACACATTCTTAAAGAAATTCAATATTATTAGAAATATTAAATAATTTATTGTAAATGGCATTAAGTAATCTTAAAAAAATAATAAGTGTAAAGTTGCATTTGTGAGCAATTAATTTAGCATTATAAATAAAGATTAAAATAGTTCTTAGAAGTGATATGTTTCATTTGTTTTATTAAATAACAGGTTCTAATACATTACATTGTCTATAATAAATATTAACACTATTATCATTGTAATTTTATAAATATTACTATTTGTTCAAATTATTTATTATATGATTTATCTTACTTGTTTTTATTAACCTAAAATAACTGATAAGCTTAATCATCCATCAGTTAAATCTAACATTCTCTTTCTTTGTTTTTTTTTTTTTTTAAATTAAAGTTCTTATCTTTAGAATATGATATTTTTATTTAAGTTTATAGAACACAAGTGCCTTCAGAGGTTTCTTTATATTGAAGGTTACAACTAATCATATATACAACTAATTATATATACATTTTTGGTGTCTAATTTAAGTAGTTTCCTTATATATTGTTATATAAATTCTATACTAGATGTCATATCTGTAAGCTAATTAGAAGTCTTGTCTATTTAAACTCTCTGCATATGCAATTTATTTTGTATCATAAGAACATTTTCAGAGTATTAATTATCCAAGTTTCTAATATTTATTAGTATTCTTAGAATTACTTTATTCTTGACAAGAGACTTACTAAGATCTGTTATATTTCACATATAGTTAATTTAGTTTTATACAACAGGCTATAGTTATCTGACACTTGTAATCACAGAGGTTATTTGTTTAACTGCTAAATTATACTATTTCAAATTTTGTAAAGTTTACTATGACTCTAGTACCTATTTTTCCAGTATCTTCTCTAGCATTCTCTACTAACTACAACTCAAAACTAGCAGATTCTGGCCAAACTACCAATTTAGATGACCTGGTATAATATATTTCTGTATTCTTTTTTTTTGACAAGTCTGGTTAGTTATATGCTTCTCTATACATATTTGACATTCAATTTATCTAACTTGTTTCTATAAAAGTGTTTTATAGGCTTCAACTAGTCTAATAGTATTGTTAAAAGTTTATACTATTTCTTTACTTAAAAATTTTCAAATAGGTTTCTATTATTACAGTTTCTTAGTTTTCTATATCTGGTAGTCTTATTATAGATTTACACTAAAGTCTTTGCAATACTAATTATTAATATTCCTATATATATATATAACATTATATTTTGCATAAATACTTTGAGCTCTCAATATAGGATAGAACCTGACTTGGTATATCTAAGTTATAGCTACATGAGATCAACTAATTAATAGGAAACAGTTACCATAACACAATATAATTTCTAAATTTTATCATAAATAAGATTTGAATCTTAGATCTGTCATTTGAAAAATGACAACTCAACTACTACACTAAGATTACTATTTTTCTCTAATATACACTTTTCTAAAGATTACTGATCATATATTATATAAGATTTTAGATTATAAAATGATTAAGTTATAGTTTTTAAATATAATAATATTAATAAAAAATAGTAAATATCATTTAAACACTATTCATATATAGGTTAGATATTTGAACTAAATAGTTTTTTTTAAAAAAAAAATAAAACTTATTTTTTTTTATTCTTTTATTATCATTATATAAAAATTTTACATATTATAATTATATATAATATTATTGGAAACTAAACATTAAAGTTAATTTATATTTAACCTAGACTTTGTTAAAAAGAATCAAATTCTATCTGTAGTCATTATACTGTGTTGAACAAAGTCTAAAAGTGTTTTGTATAATATTAGTGATCAAGTAGAATTATATTTTGATAGCAGATATATTTATTAATGTAGTAATAAGAGTTGAATTTTTTTTTTTTTTTTTGAACTTTGGCGACATTACCAGTTGGTTTTTATTAGCTTAATTTTTGATATAGTACAAATTTATAGTTACATTTTTAGGATCGATTATTACTAGT